ACTATATCCCACAGTTAAGTATTTAATTCACTTTACATTGCTTATTGAGACCCAATGGTCAGTCAAAGTTCTTATCCTGGTTAAAGTTTAAAGGTGAACTTTTTGCTTTTGTGACTCCCGGGCTTTGAAACAGATGACAGATTTTTAAAAATTATCCGTAAGGCATTTTGCTTTGTTATACTACGTGTGGATTTTGTTTCACTGATTGTTGCTAACTGTATTGACTGTTTAAGGCAAATAAAGGTTATTATTATTTAGTTTTTTTGTCTATGGTGTCTTCTTGTGCAGCGACAACACATTCCTCTACTATGAACAATGACAGATAACAACTTAAATTAATTAACTGGTTTTAAGCTCAGCAACACTCTATACATAATGTAATAATACATTTTGTCGTGATACATTTTCAACAAATGTTATTTGGACTCATCAAACGGAAGAAATATATGAGCATATAACAGTGAACTTAACCTAAAACTGTTGGGCAATTTTATAAACCCAAACTTGTTCTGTACTTTTTGTGTTGCAACCCCATTGCTCATATTGTTTGTGTGTATCATTGCCCGCATGGCTACAGCTAACTTCTTCTTCTTTACCCATATGCTCAATTTACTCATAGTGCAGAGATTATGTGTAAAATAACTTTTCAAATGTCTCCTAACCCACCAGAAATAATAAGAAAAACACTAACTCTTTTTTTTTGTTTTTTGTTTTTTTTTTTACTGGTGCACATCATGGGGGGAAGGTTTCCTGCAGTTCTTAATGAATACTGAGAGGGACCCCTGCTGGGCAGATGAGGATGTTTTTGGTTTCAGTGACTTGTGAAGCCCTGAGCGACCACATGGGGGAGATAAACACACACCAAATGAAGTCAAGTTAATTCACTTATCAGCGAAGGATGTATTCTAGTGAACAAATCATTTGACATTCAAATAACTGTGCTGTTCTTGTACAGTGTTCAAGTTCCTCCAGAACCTGTCGGATTGCGATATATTTTTTAATGTTAATACAGGAGATCACAGTTTTAATATGAGTTAATTGAATTTGTAATAGTTCTCTTAGAAGTCATCCTCTGTTTAACTTGTCCTGCTTTAAAGTCCTTGCATTGGAGGTCACGCCACAAACAATCAGCACATGATGTGAAGGAGAGCATTTGAACTCTTCCGCTTTGGGACACTCCCTACATACATGCACACCAATCAAAATCAAAAGAAGACAATTTCTCTCCAGCAGTCTTCCCCTCTTTTAACCCCTCTGTTGCTCTTTCCTGCCCAGCTGTCACTTTCCACCTTGTTAAGCAGCGTAGCTAGTGATGTGACATTTTTATATATTTATTTCTTTTGAACTATTTCTTGTCACAGTCTTGCGGTGGTCGCTGGCGTTGCTTTCGCCGTGGCGGATCACTTTCTCATGCTGCCGTGAAGAGCTGCTGCTGCTGCTGCTGACTGCGTCCATCTATGGCGTCCGTGTACAGCGGATCTCATACACTGGACAAAGATGATGTGAATTACAGAATGCATTTCCGAATGATAAACGAGCAGCAGGTTGAGGATATCACCATCGACTTTTTCTACAGGCCGCACACGATAACGTTGCTGACATGCACGGTGCTCAGTCTGATGTATTTCGCGTTCACAAGGTAAGTCGAGCGCAGCTAGCGTTAGCTCGGAGGGTTAGCATGGTGCAGCTAGCGCTCGGCTAACAGTAGCAGTGATGCTGCTGTGACGCTGCCAGGTAACACAGGGAGGTTAGCGAGCCATTAGCTTCCGTTTAATGGGTTTGTTCTCACTTGGAGACACTTTACATCCGCACTGGAGTGACTTATAAGTGGTGCCTGCTTACGTTTGTCTTTAGTTGTTAAAATAAGCTAATAAAAACAAGTGTTAGGTACCGTTAGTCCAGTGATGAACACTGCTTCCTGCGTTGACATTAGCTACAACACTGTAACTAGCGAGGCAACGACTCATAACGTTACCTCATTTTAAGGGATTATCTGCTTTAACATTACAAACCAGCATTTATACTGTACATCCAACCTCATATGAACCATAACGCCTTTAAAACTTTAAGATATGCGAGGCACACTCACATCATCTCAGTTATATCAGAATCAGAAATACTTT